TATTAGTACAAGCATTGTTGCCAATTTTATTGTGATGTCTTTGAGGCACAGATTCTCGTTCGGATATTGTTTCGCAAAGTACTGTAATAAGGGCTGCGGGTCCCATGTTCGATTATATCGGGGGGTAGTAGGCCTGATGCGAGAGACAGCTTTGAGATATCGTCTTACAAGCGGATCTTCTCCAATTCCACTAGGTAATATCAGGGACAGCGCCGATCTGTGAGAATTAAAACTTCCGTATTTGCAAGTTTCTGATCTTAAGATTGTTTCCATGAACTCAATAACCTGCCGTGCATTTGCTTTGAATACTGGAATTTCAGCCTTTTGGCAAAATCTCCACCATTGTTTATAACTGGTGTTGTATTGTTTGAGGGTGGATGCTGATATTGACTGAATAGTGGTATTGATGGCACACTCCGGAAAGCCTTTCAACTGGAAGGCTTCCCTGATAATAGCGTCGCTACCAGGGTAAGGTCTCTCGATAACGGGTGCCTGTTCCTGAAAGGAGATGAAAGCAATTGCTCATTTGGCTGAAATGTTAGGGCATTGCCTACTTGTAATTTTTAAAAAATAGGAAACCAAGGCTGGGATGGCCACATTGGTAATACGACAATGCCCATGGCTTTTTCGTCAATTATTTTTTGGAGGACTCTTAGCAATAACGAAAAAGGAGGGAAGGCATAAAAGAAAAGACCTTCCCACGATATCGTAAAAGCGTCAACAGCGACAGATTCTGGATCTTGGAACCATGAAGCATATCTGTCACATTTATGATTGATATTCGATGCGAACAAATCTATATCAGGCCTACCAAAATTTTCTATTATCTTTGAGAAAGCGTATGGTGCAAGACACCACTCAGTTTCTGTGGATAGAGAGCGCGATTCTCGATCGGCCCTCCAATTATCCTTCGTGTTGATATATGACGCAAAAATCATCACATTCCTAGCCTCACACCATTGCCAGATTTCCTTGGTTAGCCTGTCTAGGTGAACATGTTGGACACTTCCCATTCTGTTCACACATGACAGTGCCGTTGTGTTATCTGTTCTCACCAGGACGCTACAATTTTGATAATCCTTGGCAAAACATCTCAAGCCATGATATATTGCACGCAGCTCCAAAAAATTTATATGCTTTCCCCTGTCTGCTTCACCCCACCAACCACGAGTGCTTTCATTGATTGTACAAGCACCCCATCCAGTGAGCGAAGCATCAGTGTAAATTTCAGTTTTGAAAGAATCATGTTTGAAATTATTCTTTGATTCCATAATAATTGAACCCCACCATTGCAATTCTGGTAGTACCTTGCTAGATATCTTCATTATGGCGTCATAGTTCATATTATTTGCTCTTAAAGCATTAAACTTTTCGCGCTCAAGGCATTTCGTGTATAACCAGCCATACTTCACTGCTGGACATGATGATACGAGGACGCCAATGAACTTAGCAAATTCTCGTGTTTTACATGACCTTTTGTTCAGAAAAATTTCAATTAATTTTTTGACTTTCAATTTTTTCTCCATTGGTAATTCAAGTAAAAAATGTTTACTATCAAAAAGGAATCCAAGGAATTTTTGTCGTTGTGCTGGAATTGAGGAACTTTTTTCCCAGTTGATCAAAAACCCTAGGGATCTCAACAAATTAATTGCGATGCTGGTATTTTCTTGACATTCTGCTGCAGTTCTGCCTAATATCAAGAAATCATCCAAATAATTGATACAGGCTATGCCTTGGGCTCGAAGGTTTTTCAGAATTGGTTTCATTAGTTTGGTGAACATAAATGGTGCTGCAGATAATCCGAATGGTACGCAGGTAAATTCGTATAGGTTTTCGTTAAAATTAAATCTCAAGAATTTTCTAAAATTTGAATTTACCGAAACCAAAAAATACGCATCCTTGAGATCGATGGTTGACATGTACATATTCCTTTGAATTAGTCTCGACGCGGTTTTGTGGTCTTCCATTTTAAAATGCAAACTTCTGACAAATTGATTTAACTGCTTGAGGTTTAATATAAACCGTTTCTGACCATTCGGTTTATCTGCTAAAAATGTTCTAGAAACAAACTGTTCTGGATGGGGATGGCATTCAACTATAGCTCCCTTTTCAATCAACTCATTTATGGCTTCTGCCATTTGTGGACACGGTTGAGGATTTGAGGCTATGTGAGTACACCCCTGCCTTGGTTTATTTAAGAACGGGACTGTGTATCCTTCTATCCATGATATAATCAATGGATTAGAAGTAATTTTTGTCCAATTTCGTACAAAATATTTTAATCTTCCCGCTAAGGGAATATCACTTACCTCGAGATTTACCTCCATTTCGGGTTGCGGCTGTCGTATTTCGAGGGATGCCCTCTGTATGACTTCGTCTCCCTCTTGGTACGAGTCGGGCGATACTTGTTTTCCGCCTGGCTAGTAGACAGGACTCGTCTTACCCCCCCTCCTCTTTCTGTTGTGCTCGCCTTCCGAGGAGTTTTTTGTGAAGAGGTTTGAGGCAAAAGTTCTTTACCTGCCCTTTCTAGCATTTTTGCAGATTTGATTTTTTCTCCAAAATCGTCTCCGAAAAGTAACTTGCCAGAAATTGTCTTTTCCGCAATTTCCTTTACTGGTTTACTGAGCAAAGGCATCAATAGAGTGCGCCTTGTCTCAGTAACCTTAGAAAACAAATCTGTAAAAATTCTACCTGAGTCCCAAATAGGACTGAGGAGTTTTTCTTTTATGTCTTGAGGAATATTATCCCGGTTTTCTAGTAACTGGTTAAGACCCTTACTCAATGCTGATAATCCATGTCCTATGTCAGATTGGAATTCAGCATAGCATGAATCTCTCTTTTTATGAATTGCCGACAGAATAGGCATAATTTCTTGGTTGACCTCAGGTGGTTTCAACTCTAGATTGGCCGGGATGCCATATTGCTTTTTTATTGACTCTCTGAGCTCTTGGGTAAGCCGTTTCTGGATAATATAATTCCATCTAGAGCTCAAAGCTTTATGCACTTCGATTGTATTATTATTATTTATCATCTGGGGGTCGTCGCCCAGTATCTTAAGCACGTCGTCCTCCAGCTCGACGTCATTGTGTATGACTAAAACTGGAGATTGATTTTCTTCAACACGTTCCGAAGCCGAACCTCGCAGGTTACGATCTTCGTCGTATGATGGAGCGTTCGGCGACATTCCCAGTTGTCGCTCTACGCTAATTACAGACAACGCCGGTTCTCCCTGGAAACGGTCCTGTCCTTGATCAACAATAGGAGCGCACGGCGCGCAAGACACAGCCCTCGATCTCGATCGAGATCGGTGCCGTTCCCTCTCGGCTTCTTTAGACCTGTCCCTGCGACGGCGCTTCCGTTTTAATTTGTGTTCCAAACGATTCAGCCGTTTTAACAACTGCTTTTTGGAAACACTGGAATCACTACTTTCTGTCGACGACGACGACGGGCTTCTTCTCTTACTTTTTCTTCCCATGCTGAAATTCCTACGAGAAATTTCTGTTAGCGGGTTAGTGTATACTTACGTTGCGAGCGAGTTTTACCAACGTGCGGTCTGCTACGGCACAAAAGGACGAATGAGACACACGTATGCGGAGGCCAGGCAGCAGTAGCGGGAGAGCGGGGAAGGGAAAAAGCTCTTCTAAACTGTAAACAATGTGCGAAGTAGTGGCACCAGGGGCGTACTACATGGTTATTATCCAAGTGATATCGAAGGACTGGAGGTAGAAATAAAATGCTAAATTTTGGCGGTCATAAAATTTCAGTGACAGTAATTCGAAATAATTAAAAAGAGCGGGCGGGACGACTATGGTGTTTCGTCACATTGTCAGGTGGGCAAAACAAATGAAACAAAATATTAAAAACCCCAACGGCTGTCAGTTTTGTGTCCGGAATCTTGTCTAAGGTATATACAGGGACTGTTTATGTTTGGTGGCCAGTTGAACTAGGCCTCCACAGATATATCAAACGTTCGCACACATTCTTCAGCGAGAATTGCTACGCCTGAGTCTGTGCTACAGGGTCTCTATAAATGATCGTAACATCGTAGTGGCTGTTGACATTTTTTTCCATTTGCCGCTTTCTACTAATGCTGTTAACAACATTCAACGACCAAAAAGAGAGGCAGTGATCATATACAGGATCTTTCTTTTTATCGTTTTGCATACACTATGGAAATGTATCTCAAAGAAAGGAGAGTCCAATATTGGAGTTCGAAAAATAATGGAACAAATCAAAAATATTCATTAAAGAAGTAATAAATAAGGGTTCATTTCATTAACCTACATCAAATGTTCAAAATGTTCTCCGTTGTTCTCCAAGCATTTCAAAACTCTTCGCCGTATGTTGTCGAAAATGTTCCTCAGCATTTCCGTTTCCAAATTTGCACGTGTGGTGTGGGCAGGTCTGTACCTTTCACCATTGATAGTGCCATCGAAGAAAATCGGTCCATATATTCGCCTACAAGAAACTGCTAACCACACCCCAATTTTTTGAGAATGTAGTGGAGTCTCAATGAAATTGTGGGGATTCTCAGATCTCCAAGACTTAAAATTTTGTGAGCACGTATCCTGAAAAATGAAACCTAGCCTCATCGCTGAAAAATGTTAGGTCCAATAGCTGGTCATCGTTGAGATTATTTTGGAACCATTGGCAGTACTCTAGACGGCGTGGGATATCTATTGGCAGAAGTTGCTGTAGTACACTGGTCTTGTAAGGGTGCATATGCAATCTTTTCTTGAGCACTTTATGGCATGTACTTAATGGCACACCAGACACCAGATTGTAAAGATAATCTCTTCAATGACGTTTGGGGATTCTGTTCAACACGCGCCCTTAGATTTTCGACAACTTCTTCCGATATTTGGGGCCTTCCTGTTGATTTCTTTTTATTAACGTTTCCAGTTTGGATAAATCTGTTGATTACTGTTCTGATGTGGGCTTTCGAAGAAGATTCTTGAATTTGTATATTAGGATATTTCTCCAGGTACTCATCTTTGCAGGCTACTACCGAGTAACTCCATCCACCATTGATGAATGTGCCATTTTAACAATGAGACATTACATTAAATGTATTCTGCTCTGAGGAATAAGCCATCCCTCTTTTCAACACGACAATCACGAAGTAGACAACAGAATCGTTTGAAAATTTTAACGAAAAACTGACAATTGTGAGATTTTCAGCTATGACAGTATAATGATTGATGTCAGAAATTAAATTCGAATGTGTGAATCTCCATAAATTGAAGGCGGCAAATGGAGAGAATATTTCAACGGCTACTACGATGTTACGATCATTTATAGAAACCCTGTACTTTCGTGAATTTTGAGGCAAGTACGCTGCTCTATTGACTATCACGCTTCTGCCGAACCAAAGTACAAGACAATTTTATACGTTATTCACTAGCCGCCGCGTAAATATTACCCATATAGTGATGCTATGGCCAGGCGCTTCTCTGCCATGTTCTTGTGGCCATCTAGTATGCTATTTCATAGTAGAATGTAATGTGATTCTATTTTTATATACATTTATTCAAACTTCACTAGCCGCTATTTCATAGTAGAATGTAATGTGATGCTATTTTTATATACATTTATTCAAATTTCACTAGCCGCCGCGGAAATATTACCCATATAGCGATTCTATGGTCAGGCGCTTCTCTGTCATGTTGTTGTGGCCATCTAGTATGCTATTTCATAGTAGAATGTAATATGATGCTATTTTTATATACATTTATTCAAACTTCACTAGCCGCCACGGAAATATTACCCGTATAGTGTTGCTATGGCCAGACGCTTCTCTGCCATGTTCTTGTGGCCATCTAGTATGATATGTCATAGTAGAATGTAATATGATGCTATTTTTATATACATTTATTCAAACTTTACTAGCCGCCGCGGAAATATTACCCATATAGTGATTCTATGACCAGGCGCTTCTCTGTCATGTTCTTGTGGCCATCTAGTATGCTATTTCATAGTAGAATGTAATATGATGCTATTTTTATATACATTTATTCAAACTTCACTAGCCGCCGCGGAAATATTACCCGTATAGTGTTGCTATGGCCAGGCGCTTCTCTGCCATGTTTTTGTGGCCATCTAGTATGATATGTCATAGTAGAATGTAATATGATGCTATTTTTATATACATTTATTCAAACTTTACTAGCCGCCGCGGAAATATTACCCATATAGTGATTCTATGACCAGGCGCTTCTCTGTCATGTTCTTGTGGCCATCTAGTATGCTATTTCATAGTAGAATGTAATATGATGCTATTTTTATATACATTTATTCAAACTTCACTAGCCGCCGCGGAAATATTACCCGTATAGTGTTGCTATGGCCAGGCGCTTCTCTGCCATGTTCTTGTGGCCATCTAGTATGATATGTCATAGTAGAATGTAATATGATGCTATTTTTATATACATTTATTCAAACTTCACTAGCCGCCGCGGAAATATTACCCATATAGTGATTGTATGGCCAGGCGCTTCTCTGCCATATTCTTGTGGCCATCTAGTATGCTATTTCATAGTAGAATGTAATGTGATTCTATTTTTATATACATTTATTCAAACTTCACTAGCCGCTATTTCATAGTAGAATGTAATGTGATGCTATTTTTATATACATTTATTCAAATTTCACTAGCCGCCGCGGAAATATTACCCATATAGCGATTCTATGGTCAGGCGCTTCTCTGTCATGTTGTTGTGGCCATCTAGTATGCTATTTCATAGTAGAATGTAATATGATGCTATTTTTATATACATTTATTCAAATTTCACTAGCCGCCGCGGAAATATTACCCATATAGTGATTCTATGGTCAGGCGCTTCTCTGTCATGTTGTTGTGGCCATCTAGTATGCTATTTCATAGTAGAATGTAATATGATGCTATTTTTATATACATTTATTCAAACTTCACTAGCCGCCACGGAAATATTACCCGTATAGTGTTGCTATGGCCAGACGCTTCTCTGCCATGTTCTTGTGGCCATCTAGTATGATATGTCATAGTAGAATGTAATATGATGCTATTTTTATATACATTTATTCAAACTTTACTAGCCGCCGCGGAAATATTACCCATATAGTGATTCTATGACCAGGCGCTTCTCTGTCATGTTCTTGTGGCCATCTAGTATGCTATTTCATAGTAGAATGTAATATGATGCTATTTTTATATACATTTATTCAAACTTCACTAGCCGCCGCGGAAATATTACCCGTATAGTGTTGCTATGGCCAGGCGCTTCTCTGCCATGTTCTTGTTGCCATCTAGTATGATATGTCATAGTAGAATGTAATATGATGCTATTTTTATATACATTTATTCAAACTTTACTAGCCGCCGCGGAAATATTACCCATATAGTGATTCTATGACCAGGCGCTTCTCTGTCATGTTCTTGTGGCCATCTAGTATGCTATTTCATAGTAGAATGTAATATGATGCTATTTTTATATACATTTATTCAAACTTCACTAGCCGCCGCGGAAATATTACCCGTATAGTGTTGCTATGGCCAGGCGCTTCTCTGCCATGTTCTTGTGGCCATCTAGTATGATATGTCATAGTAGAATGTAATATGATGCTATTTTTATATACATTTATTCAAACTTCACTAGCCGCCGCGGAAATATTACCCGTATAGTGTTGCTATGGCCTGGCGCTTCTCTGCCATGTTCTTGTGGCCATCTAGTATGATATGTCATAGTAGAATGTAATATGATGCTATTTTTATATGCATTTATTCAAACTTTACTAGCCGCCGCGGAAATATTACCCATATAGCGATTCTATGGCCAGGCGCTTCTCTGTCATGTTGTTGTGGCCATCTAGTATGCTATTTCATAGTAGAATGTGATATGATGCTATTTTTATATACATTTATTCAAACTTCACTAGCCGCCGCGGAAATATTACCCGTATAGTGTTGCTATGGCCAGGCGCTTCTCTGCCATGTTCTTGTGGCCATCTAGTATGATATGTCATAGTAGAATGTAATATGATGCTATTTTTATATACATTTATTCAAACTTTACTAGCCGCCGCGGAAATATTACCCATATAGTGATTCTATGACCAGGCGCTTCTCTGTCATGTTCTTGTGGCCATCTAGTATGCTATTTCATAGTAGAATGTAATATGATGCTATTTTTATATACATTTATTCAAACTTGTGGCAATGATATTGTGGCATCTATTTTATAGTAGGAAACAAAGATGCATTTTTTAATGTATGTAATGTGATACTATTTTTATATACATTTATTCAAAGTTGCTCAACTATACAGGCATCTTCAAGTTCAATCTGTCTAACATCGAGCACCGATGAAATTAATAAAAAAATGTGGTTACCTGTTTCTGAATTTTTTTTTGGTGAATCACATGAATTCACACAACTAGGACGCACTTCACCACCTGTCAAACCAATTCTAGCTATGGCGGTAAATTTGAATACCATTATCCTCCCTCAGCAATAATAATTGACAATTTCTGTGGTGTACAAGCCTTCCGTACAATGCAGAACTTGTTGATATATTGAAGCAAAATTTGCTTCATGAAATATCCTGGCCGCGTATTTCAGGACCCATGTGCGATACAGAGCGCTGCATTATACTCTGCAGAGAGAAAACTTGAGTTATCATAATTGGAAATCTGATAACCGTTATTACGATATCTGCAATAAATAGAGGACAGATGTGTTCATTTGCTACCATAGATGAAGTGAATTTTCAGGTGGCTTGTAGTTATGGCAGCATATTCAATTTGCAAACTTGTATAAACACCGCTGCTGAATAACTTCCACTTGTTCTAGTTCTTATGATAACACAGAGTGTCGATTAGAAATTATTCCTATATAAATATTGCAGTAACTAATCCACTCTTAGTGGTTATTCGACTATCTTCATAAAACAGCCTGTTTTCATTACTGGCATAACCATCTTGAGGTAACGCAGTAAGATTTGTAATTTGAAACATAGTTCATTGTTACATATAGAGAGTCAAAAAGTTGGGTCTGCGTCTCCAAGTGGAAGTTCAGCAGTTTTACTATCTACTGCTTCTCTCACTGGTCAGAATAAAGAGGAAGCAGTCCCATTATCTACTGCTTCGGTTATTGCTTCCAATGCTCAAGGAAACTTGTGCACTATCAAATCAGTTTTAGATTGCGGATCACAATCCAATTTCATAACTTCGTCTCTCTGCAAGAGTCTCAATTTAAAAGAAACCGCCATTGATCATTCTATTATAGGTATCAGTGGTCTTTCATCAAAACTTACCTCCAAATGTGATATTGAAATAAAATCGATCAATAGTAGTTTCACTAAAAAAATATCCTGTTTGATTTTACCAAGAATAACAGATGATTTACCTTCACATTATATTGATGTTAGTACATGGAACATTCCATCCAACATCAATCTAGCAGATTGTACCTTCAATGAGCCCAACAAGATTGATTTGCTAATTGGAGCTGGATTATTTTGGGATCTTCTTTTGCTTCAGAGAATGAATTTGGGAAAGAATCTTCCGATTTTACAGCTCACGCAATTGGGTTGGATTGTTTCTGGTACTATGAATAAATTTATGTCTAAGACACACTGTAATTTCTACAAACTCAATGATTTTCATCTAGATTTGAATCAATTTTGGGAGTTGGAGGAAAGTATTGATGAAAATTCAAAAATGTCCATCGATGATATGCAATGTGAAAATCATTTTGTCAATAATTATTCTCGCGATAAAGATGGTAGATTCATAGTAAGAATTCCTTTGAAATTTTCATCTTCCAATTTTGGCGATTCTAAGGTGATGGCAATAAAACGTTTACAGAATCTCGAGCAAAAATTTCAGTTCAATCCAAAACTGAAAAACGAATATTCAGAGTTTTTGCACGAGTATTCCGATTTGTCTCATATGACATTAGTCAAGAGCGACAATTCTGTTGATGTTTCCTATTATTTGCCTCACCACGGGGTCATTCGAGACGATAGTCTTACTACGAAACTTCGTGTAGTTTTTTATGGTTCCTCAAAAACAAAAAGTGGTTGGTCTCTTGACGATTTACAATAT